TTAAACCCCCACCCCCAACCGCTAATCCCTACCCTAAACCCTAGACCCAAACCCTAAACCCTAAACCCTAAACCCTAAACCCTGCCTTTTCCGAGGATTCTGTCTTCTCCAGGGTTTGGGGTGTAGTGAGCTGCGCATTCATTTAAAGAGCATCCCGTGGGAAACCCTTTTCCCCTTTCGAGGCCTTTGGCAGCAATTAGGGTTTCTGTTTTTTTTTCAATTTCTTCACAAAGATAAGTCAAAGAAATTCCAGGTTTTACCAAACTCTGGGCGTAGCGCCGCACCTAAACACGACAAAAAGCAAAAACAACTTCAATTCCCCTTTTATTTCTTTTATTTCTTTTTCATTTCTTTTTCCTTCCTTTTATTTCTTTTTATTTCCAAAAAATTCGAAAAAAATCAAAAAGATTCAAAAATTCAAAAAATTCAAAGAAGTGGCGCTGGTGCATACACCCCAAGCTGTACGTACACCCCGATTTTCCTTAAAATCGAATTTCTTCTTTGTATTTAAATTTTAATTTTTAAATTTCTAATCTTCTCGAATTTATTTTAATCTTTTACGTCTTGTTTTAATATTCAATTTGCAAACTTTTATTTTCTAAATGTTCTGTACTCTTTACTTTCCTAGGGTTTAGGGTTTAGGGTTTAGGGTTTACTTGTCTGTGGCACTCCGCAGCTTCTCGCAGAGCCTCCAAATTAACAGAATCAAATCTTTCCGCTTCTCTCGCTTCTGCGTCGTGGGGCGGCGACGCGTAAAGCTGCACTTCCCCTGAAGCCGCAAACCCTAAACCCTAAACCCTAAACCCTAAACCCTAAATCCTGGACCCGCGGGAGTTTGCTCCATCCCGGCAGCCGGAGGCCGCAGCAAAAAGTCGCGCAGGGGCCAAACCCTCGCCCCTGGGAGGGCCGCCTCCACCCCCCAAACCCAAACCCTAAACCCTAAACCCTAAACCCTAAACCCTAGACACCTTTGGGGAAGTCCCCCGCGGGAAACAGCTGCTGCATCGTCTTCGTGGGAGGCACCGTTTGCTGCGAGGGTTTGCGTTCGGGCCAGCTGCCTAAGCAGCGCAGCGCGCTGTTATCTTGTGCAGGCTCAAACCCTAGGGTTTTTGCTGCTGCTGCTGCTGCTGCTGCTGCGCTTTTCTTCTTCTTTTTCTTCTTCTTCTTTGCTGCTGCTGCTGCGCCCTGCCCCCCTGCTGCTGCTGCTGCTGCTTCGCCCGCGCATTCGCCCCCAGACTCCTCCGCCTCGCTCTCCCCGACCTTCTGTGCACAAACCCTAAACCCTAAACCCTAAACCCTCAACCCCAAACCCTAAACCCTAAACCCTAAACCCTCGGCTCCGGGTGTCAACTGACCTCCTGGGGCTCCGCCGCAACGTCCAGGCGCTTCTCCTCCTGCACCAGACTTCCGGGCATTTTGGAGAAACTAGGGTTTGCGGCTTTGCGGCTAGGGTTTAGGGTTTAGGGTTTAGGGTTTAGGGTTTAGCGTCTGATGCTGCGAACAGGCTAGAGAGCAGCAGGGTTGCCGGGGCTGCTGCCTCTGTTTCCAGGTGTACGTACACCTGTTCCGCTACGCGCTGCTGCTGCTGTTTCAAAGAAAGAAATGTGTTCCCTGCTGTTGCTGTGGGGAGCATTTGCTGCTGCTGCTGCTGCTGCTGCTGCGGGGCTGGAGCCGCCGCTGCTGGTGCAGCATCGATCAGTAGCAGCAGCAGCAGCAGCAGCAAGAGAAGCACTAGCAGCAAATAAACCCTGACTCTATTTTATTTTCTTTTTAGTATCTTTTGAGCTTCTCCTAATTAAGATCTGCCGCTGCTTCGCTGCAGCTACGCGGGAACACTAGCAGCAGCAGCAGCAACAGCAGCAGCAACAGCTGCTGCTGCTGGTTCTGCGTCCAATACACACAGACATTCCGCAACAGCAGCAGCAAGACACATGTCTGTACGTACACTGAAAGTAAGAGCGGCAGCAGCAACTACAGCAGCAGCAGCAGCAGCAGCAGCAACTGCAGCAGCAGCGGCGACGGCAGCAGCAGCCGCCTTTAGCAGCAGCAGCCACCCAACCAGCCTAGCTGTAGCAGCAGCAAACGGAGCAGCAGCAGCGGCGAGGGCCGTGGCAATCGTCAGTAGCAGCAGCAGCTAATGCTGCTGCTGCTGCAGCAGGGGAGCCGACGCTGCTGTTTTTTCTCTTGGGGCCACAAGCAGCAGCAGCAGCAGCAGCAAAAGCAGCAGCAGCAACAGAGGGAGAGCAATGAGCTCCGTATACCCAGCCCCCGCTCCTTCTGTTCCCTGCAGCAGCAGCAGCAGCAAATCAGCAGCAGCAACAACTGCAGCAGGACACGATGATACACCAGTAGTAGTCGTGCGGTGAGCCATGCTGTTTGCTGCACCGTCAAGGGTTTAGGGTTTAGGGTTTAGGGTTCAGGGTTTAGAGGCCTTTGCAGCCACTGCCTACCAGAATTTGGATCTGCCGCAGCGCGGGCTTGGCGCCCAGCGGGCCACTGCCGTGCGGCCCAGACCTAGGGTTTAGGGTTTAAGGTTTAGGGTTTAGGGTTTAGGGTTTAGGGTTTAGGGTTTAGGGTTTTGTCAGGCGGGACTTTCACTCTGCGGAGGCCCGGCGGCGCTCTCGCGCCCACACATTTTTTGGGCAGCGAAATTTGGGGGAGTTTGGTTCATTTGTTTATCTCGTCAATCAAGTGTTTGGCGCCAGTAAACCCTAAACCCTAAACCCTAAACCCTCAGCCCGGCCTCCAGGCGCTAGGGCCTAGTGCGCGGCCGTTCTGCAGCGGGAACTAAACCCTAAACCCTAGACCCTAAACCCTAGGCCGTTGCGGGCGAACGTGACCGGAGCGGCTGGAGCACGCCCGGACTTCCTCTTTAGGGTTTAGGGTTTAGGGTTTAGGGTTTAGGGTTTGCGGGCGCGCAGGTCTGGTGGCGGTGCCCCTCGTGTTTAAGAGTGCTGGCTTCTTGCCTGCTGCAGCAGCAAATTTATTTGTTTGCTGCAGCAGCGCCGTGGCCTCTCTTATGCTTCTCCGCTGCATGCAGCTAGTGCATGTAAACCCTAAACCCTAAACCCTAAACCCTACACCCTGGAATCGCCGATGCACAGCCCGGACGCTGAACCCTCAGCTGCTGCAGCGGCTCCGCAGCCCTCATCTAAACCCTGGCTGCCTCAACCGCTAAGCACCACGCAATTAGGGTTTAGGGTTTAGGGTTTAGGGTTTAGGGTTTAGGGTTTGGGTTTTGGTGCAGGGAAATAGTTGTTTTCAAAAACGCATAGAGTATGCAGCGTGTGTCTCCTACTTCCTCGGCAAGCACAAGGCCGGCCTGGTTCAGGTAAACCCTAAACCCTAAACCCTAAACCCTGGCGTTTCGGAGTTGTGCGGCGCTCGAGGGTTTGCAGAAACCCTAGGGTTTAGGGGTGCGGTCTGCAGCCGCAAACCCTCGGGGTTTGCAGGCTGCAGCACCTGCGGCCTCCCGTGCTGCGCCTGGCAAGCCCCAAACCCTAAACCCTAAACCCTAAACCCTAATTTTGCTGCTGCGCTGCAGCTTTGCCTCTACCTCGCCATGCAAGGCATGTGCGCCATTTCTATTGTAGTTGTCAGTCAAGCGTCGGACCAGCTGCTGCTCTTTTCTTTCGGAAAAACAGCAGGTACAAACCTTAAACCCTAAACCCTAAACCCTAAACCCTAAACCCTAAGCTCTTGCTGCGGGCGGGACACGCTCCAAACCCCAGACTGCGGAGCTGCAGGCGCAGCACAACTCGCTGCTGCTGCGGACTGCGCTAACGTGGCCACGGGGGTTTGCGTTTAGGGTTTAGGGTTTAGGGTTTAGGGTTTAGGGTTTAGAATTGATTGTGCTTCTTTGCTGCGGGCTGGCGACTGGTTGGTACACTGGGTCCTAAGGTTTAGGGTTTAGGATTTAGGGTTTTGCGTTTGAGCTTCGTAAATGGCGCGGTTTGGCAGCCGCCGGAGGGTTTAGGGTTTAGGATTTAGGGTTTAGGGTTTAGGTTTTAGGGTTTAGGGTTTAGGGTTTTGCGTTTCAGGCCTAGAGGTTTACCCGCAGCTGCGACTGCGAGTTTACGACGCAGCAGAATATGCAGCATTTTCGGGATTGTCTTTGCCGTGGGCTTCTGGGGCTGGGGGAGCAGCAGCAGCAGCAGCAGCAGCTGCGCCTCCTGCAGCAGCAGCAGCAGGCGCAGCAGCAGCAGCAACAGAAGTCACCGTCACCTGCGGCTACCTCCTCTGTGCTGCTTGCTGCATCCCTCTCTCCAGCAGCAGCATGGAAGAAAACATGACAGTTCAATATATTTCATTTTTCTTTTTAATGGGATCTGTAGCAGCAATGGCAGCAGCAGCAGCATGGCGCATTAGCACTTTTGCTGCAGCAGAGGCGCCCCTTGCTGCTGCTGCTGCTGCTGCGGCCCCGGCCGCGCTGCCTGGGGATGCCGCTGCTTGGCTGCAGCAGCAGCTGCAGCAGCAGCCACCAGGGACAGCAGCTGCAGCAGTGGCCGCACTGCCGCAGCAGGGGTTTGCTGCTGCTGTTGCCGCAGCTGCTGCTGCTGCTGCTATGCCACGCGTGCTGTACGCAGCAACGCCAGCACACCAAACGCCAGCAGCAGCAGCAGCAGCAGCAGCAGCAGAGGGTTGGGATGTATCTGCGGAGGCACAAGTTGAGGCAGCAGAGCTGGAGGAGATGCTGAAGAGCAGCAGCAGCAGCAGCAACAGGAGGCTGCTGCAGCACCTACTGCGGGAGGCCTCGAAGGACAGCAGCAGCAGCAGCAGCAGCAGCAGCAGCAGCAGCCCTGGAGAGGACAGCAGCAGCAGCACCGCCGCCCATGTCGAAGACGGCGCGAGCGCCGCTGCGGAGGCCCCCGCGCCCAGCAGCCCCAACAGCAGCCCCAAGAACAACAACAGCAGCAGCAGCAGCAGCAGCAGCAGCAGCAGCAGCAGCAGCAGCAGCCCGCTAGAAGCCACTCCCCCAGCGTTTCCCCCGCTGTGGGGAGGCCAAAACCTCACTCAAGTCTTTTCCACTTTCATTGCCAATTATGCCTATGTGACAGTTGTGCCTTGCTGGGCGAACGAAATGAAACTCGAAGTCAAGGCCCGCAAACCCTAAACCCTAAACCCTAAACCCTAAACCCTAGTTAGCGGGCGGCGGGCTCAGGCCCGCGCAGCCGCCTCCCCGGCAGCGCAGAAAAGGCGGCGCGCGCTGGCAGCTGCAGCAGCCGTAGAGAGGGGCGGCTGCGGGTTA